ACAAACATTGTATTTTCACAAAACCACTAAACTGTTGTCTACTCCTCTAATCAGAATGTTTTTAATGTTGCAGTTCCTTGACAGTATCGGAAAATGCCATCAGAGACCTAATAAAAAGAGAGATCTCTGGTGAGGCAGCTCTGATAGAATGGATGTTTCCTACTATTGACTTCAAAGGAAAGAAAGTGAGGCTAATATTATTGTTGTTTTTTTAAAGCACTCCTTTGGCATCAGTGCATGACACCCTCCACTCCAAAAGCTGAAAATACTTTCCAGACTTCCATAACATTCCCTCCAGTCAGGCATGGAAACTTATTGTTTAGGTGAAGTACCTCAAAAGCATGTAAGCTGGTGCATGCAGACCTATTTTCCCTGCAGATGCAGAATTGTCCCTTAGACTCATCTGTAGATGTAGCCCGTAGAGATCTCATTACTCACCGTGCATTGCTAGACACATGCTTCCCACTGACCGCAGACAGCATAATACTTGCTATCTACTGAGAACAGAGATTCCGCATTGGTTTCCTTAGCAGCAGAAGCAGTAATACTAATCTGCTCAATAGGCCCCTTTCTCCTGTAATCGTAATAACCAGGTTGCTGCCCATGAAGTGTTACAAACGTAGCCGAGCCTTCTGATGAAAGTTGTCACAGGTTTATGACATGTCAAACTACTTGTGTCAGAGATGTACAGTAAAAATAACAGGAAGTTCAGCATCTGTACAAAAAATTGTTTCATAGGTAAATTGTAAATGGTTAGTTTGTGTGATGCAGTGATTTGAACACAAGATCTGCGCTGTAATGCTGGAGTTGCCTAAAGATGCCTTTAGGCAAGTTAGTTATCTTCTCTATGTCTCAATTTCCCCATGTTTAATGCAGTACCTTTAGTGTCTCACCCTTAGGGATTCAAAAGAACTGACAAGCACAAGTGCTGAATTTCACTGTGTACAACACAGCACCCAAATCACTGCATCAACACTATTCCCAAACTGAGTATGTTGCATATATACAAGAAAAAAAGATTCTGCTTAAAAGTCTTAACTAACTAGGCAGGAACACAATGTCACAGACAGGTCTAGAACATACTCAGGAGGCATTTTTTTCTTTGAAATACATGAACTAGAGACATCAACAATGGCTATTTTCACTGTCAGCTCCTTTCATGGATATCACATACATTATGATACCCAATTTCTATAAACACTAATTGCGTATGTAGAAATTATGTAAAGATAAATATATTTACCCTGATCATATCTGTGGAGGCCTGCCACGTAGGTTCCCTGAGCACGTATGCATGCAGTGATGGGAACTTAATTTTCTACTCTTTATGAAGCCATGAGAGTGCAAGAGGGTAAACTGATAAGCCAAGTATGGATTTGTCCAAATCAAACAATTCTAGACAACTAAATGAGCAGCTCTATATTTACATTTGCAAGCAGAGGCTTAAACTGAGGATGCAATAGCTGGAGATCAGCAGGGTTCTACCCACCAAAGTATTGGAAGAACTGAAAGACGGCAAAAGATGCAGCTATGAGAAACGTTTTTTTTTTTAAATAAAAACCATTTAAGCTTGCTAATTTTTGCTGTCTCAGACAATCAAAATTCCAATTGTCTGGGACATCAAATCTAAAAAAGCATGAAATTAATCTTCAGAAGTTAAAGTCGTAAAGGCATTGCATCATTATTTTTTTTGGATATATTTTTGATTATAATGCAGATGAACCCCAAATTTAATAAAACTAAAATAACATGAGTTAAGTATGAAACATAACAGGATATTGCAAAGAGATTAGGTAGTTTCCTTTAGACTACTTGCAGAGCCCAAGGAAAAACCAAACTGAGGGACACAATGACGAGAAGGCACCGCTTAATTAGAATATTTAACAGAATATGAAAACAGAATACTCATAGTACTGGTTTTGGCAATGAAACACAGCGAGCAGAATATGGACCCAAAACATCAGTAGTTCTCTACACCAGATACTGTTTTGCCTGTCGACTGTCTGTAGTAAAGAAAGAAGCAGGCTAGCTAAATTTAAACCAGCTGTAACGATGAGAGTCTTACAGTTGGACTGAAGGAAGCTTACCTCATGAAAGTATTGTGGAAACTGCTGTTGGAAAGATAATAAAAGGATTAACTGCAGTTTTAGTGAACCATTTACTTTTCAATCAAAATGTCTCGTGTATTTCCTGTTCTCAAGTAGCTTGAATTCCAAAATTCCTTTGTCTATTACAGTACATAGTAGCAAAGCCTGTCATAAGAAATTAATAATTTTACATGGAAAAGTACTTTTATGTATGAGGTGGGGTGCTGCTCGCTGTTAGCTTCTCCCGAGCAGTTCAATACCTAGTCAGCCAATAATCTTACAGAGAAGAACAAAATTAAGGGCTTAAAAAGAAAGTACAATGGGTAATTGTGAACAGCGAAAGAAAATCTCCACTACAAATACCAAGAGATGTAAAGTTACTTTAACAGGGCTACAGCAAAAACGAAACAAAATCTCAGACCTCTATAGACAGAGAATGAATTGCCTTTTTAATTTGCAGGAATAACAGCACAATTATTACCACATCAAAAGAAAAGCCATCATTTAAAATGACATGACATCACCGCACAATGAAACACTGCACAGCAACCCTTGTTTAAAGTGGAATGGAATTCGCTGGGCAAATAATCCCCACTTGATATTAATAAATTTAAGGAGCCGTGTTGTGGCTTTGGATCTTGTCCGTGCTAGGTCAAGGTCTTTCCAGGGTAGAAAACTAAATTTGCAAATGAGACATATTTTTCATGTGCTCACTTGGATCCAGCTTTACTCCACACAGGATTCCAGGTTGTAACATTTAATACACGGATACCTCTGCTGACAGTGGAAGGGTCTTATTCTGGGAACAGAAGAGTTAACTGCAAGTTGTGCAATGTGAAGCTCCTGATTCTGATTGGGCCATTCCATGTATGGGAACAACTACAATATCTGCTCAAATAAAACAGATCTTTATGTACGTACATGCCAAGGCTATATACATGTGCCACGAAGGCTGTCTGCAATATCAGACGCGAGGGTTTTTCCAACCTATTCACTATGTGAAACCTTGAGATGTTACCAAAAGACGGTTCTTTAATGCAGATGAACATAATTGAAAGGAGGAAATTTTTAGCATTTGCTAAGATATTACATGATTTAACATCTCTGGTTTATCCAGTTTCCTGTAGGAATGGGAATGTAACCTTAGAAATCTGCTATACAATACCTGTCAGATACGCATTTTGCAGAAAAAGACAAAAGTTCCCTCACCCATGGAGTCTACTGAATCTTTCAGCAACATAGTAAAGCTAATCAGGGTTTCACGTTTTAAGTGTTTCTTTTAAAAAGTGTGAGATAAAAGTGGGGCAAGACTGATCTCATTCCAGATGATAAAAACACTAAAACCAAAAAGTAGGCTAAAATAAAATCTATAAGTATGCTTTCACAGCTTGCTTACACTTTTGTTTGGAAAGAGGCAACTAACTTGCATTATCCTTTGATGATTTATGACCAAAAAAAAGATATTCATAGGAAGCTAAATTCCTTTGTACTTTTACAAATTGTGATTGAGCTATTTCTGGAAACAAGCAAGTCAGTTCTTTTTCTCAAAGGAAAAAGAAACAGGTAAGTCTTAGAGCATTTCCATTTTATCTTAGACAATTTGATGGTGTTCTCTAAATATCTGCATTGTTTCCAGTATTATTTTAGGGAATACCCACTGAACAGTGCAGACATTAAGATAACGTTTTTCATCTATACAATGGAAGTAAAGAGATAATCAGAAAATTTTTCTCTGTAAAACATTTTGAATACTGTTGTTTTCTTCCTTCTCCCTTCCATAACCACTGCAGGCCAGCAAGCTTTTTCTTGAACAAATTAAAAAAAGTAAGCTTTTTATATAAACATTCTTTCCTATTCCTCCATAGAAAGCTACAGCTTGCCATAGAAAAGTTTGTCTTGATCTACCTTCCTTACAAGCATTTTCCATTATACAATTCTCCGATCAAAACAATAAAATAGACATATAGTCAAAAATTCTGTCTGTCAGGAACCACAACCTGCTGCCATAACCATTCCCTTTGTTTGTACTTATTTGTGTGTGTGTGCCTGCGTGTATGTGCATGCATGCACACGCGTACGCGTGTGGGTGTTACAAATAAGACTTTCCAAATTTCATGGCCCAATTTGGAAGCTTATGTCAAACTTGTTTTGCTTCATCTGTTTCAGTCAGGGTCTTATATCATTGTTGTTTCAAACATGTGGAAAGCTTAATGGAAGTCATTAACTTTTATTTTAGTTTGGCCATATTGTCATCATGGTGGGCAGATGCAGAGATGGTGTTATTCCCAAGATTCTCTTTTTGGAACACTGATGTTGTTTACATCTTCTTGATCAGAAGAGAACAATGGTTTTTACTTATTTTTAAAGCTCTGTTTTGCAAATTAAAAAAGCCCCTTACAACCTTTGAAAATGTAATTAAATTCCTTTTATTCTTTTAACTGTTAAAAATCCTTAACAAGTTCCTTTTTCTTTTCTAAACTACCATTTGAAACTTTTGCACTCAAACTCTATGGGTTATTGTTCAGCTGAAGGAATGAAAAGAATTTCATTAGATGTGTTTTATGTTTCTTGACTAAAAATGTCACCCGAGGCTCAGTGACTTGTTTTACGTTAAATGACTGCTGCGTGCTTTGATCATCACTTTATTAATGCTTTAATGAATATTAAAAAAATAAAGCACTGTATTAAAAGTTAAGCTCTCATATAAGGAAACGGAATCCCTTTTCCAAGAACTACAATATTTCTTACTCAAACATTTCCTTCTAGATTAAGGTTTTCTCCAATTCCCCTTTAGCCTGCTGCAGACTAAGTTACAGGAAAGCACAACAATTATATTGGAATAAGACTGAAGAGAGAGCAAGAAAGAAAGTAGAGTAGTATGTTTCTATTCAAACAAATATATTCCAGACTTACCATGCACTTGTTTGGTTTTTCTCCAGAATGAACCCTCATATGAATCAGCAGTTTGTAACGAGCATTGAAGGGTTTATATCGGCGGACACAGCCTGCCCAAAAGCAAGTGAAGTCCTCTCCTTTCCGCTGGTCAATGTGAGTCTTTTCTATGTGTCTGACCAGTTCGTCTTGTTGGTCGTAAGTGGCACTGCAGTCAATCCACCGACAGACCTGTTTGCCATTGCTGAGGTCCTGTTCATCCCCGTCGCCGGGCTGAAAGGACTTCGGAGACATGGGGGCGTGTAAGTGAGGCAGCGGCCCTTGAGTTTGGTTTAGTTGCTGGTGTAGATGGTAAGGGGGAGGCAGCCCCTGATGATGTCGAAAAAGATCAGCAGTGGAGGAATAATCGTCAGCTGGTTCTTGTTTTAAGAAACTCACCTTTTGGGTGCTGTGCGAGGTGTTTTGATGAGGAATGCTAGTACCATTCATCATAAGGCTGAGGCTTCCATTCTCCTCGACTTGCTGCATTTGTATCTGCTCACAGTCACCTCTGTCACATTCAGCAGAAATAGGTACAAGACATGCTGGAGGGGAGGGAATACTGCAAGGGTTTCCAGGCTGAGAGCAAGACTGGGGCCGAGAGGATTTTTGAGCACTGTGATGACTGATCTCCACAGGATGAGAGGAAATGCCAGCTGAATTAGTTCGCAGTCCATTCACACAGGTGACCAGTGACGTCTGTGATGTGCGGATGATAGCTGTAATATCAATTCCTTCAGCTGAAGACGGCACAACAGAGATGCATCTCTTCTTCAGGTTGCTTGTTTGTAGCCTGGCCGAGTGCTGAGGGGTGCCAAGCGACAAAGGACCCAGGGAGGAGCTATGTTCATTATTAAACAAGTAGGATGAAAGTGAATTTGTAAAGCTATTATTCATTAGGTCTATTTCAGGATGCAGACTACCGGAGGCTCTCAGCTCCATCCCCTCTGTAATCCTCCTATGTGTGGAAGCCTCAGACAGAACCTTATAATCACTGGGGCATTCTTGTTTAATGTGCTGAGCCGGGTGACTTCCATTCAGGCATGGAGCAGCAGAATCTACTGAGTCTTGAAACCTGGGTGACCTGTAATACAGTTTTCATTAAGCATCACCAACTACCACAGGATTTATGATTTTTGTACAAGATGCAACACTTGTTAAGCCCTGGAGAATGGAAACACTTGCTCTCTGCTGAATGTTGCCTGCCTAACGCAGCAATTACACCAAAAAAATCTGCAATGCTTCTTCTACAACCCTTGTAAAGGCAGCATCGTTTTACACAGGATTAATTTTACACACTGGATTACGCACGAAACAGACAATCTCCCCTCCACTACTATGGGCAGTTCATCAACCACAATCTAGGTTTTCAATGCATAATAGATTGGGCAAAACAATAGCTGAGAATGAAGTTTGAGAGCTTTGGGCATTTTTGAATTATTCAAATATCGGCATTTTCCTCAGAGCACACTGGGAAAATGCCTTGGCATTCTTGGTCACACGAATCAAAAAAGGCTAGCTGAGCTTTGCTTACATGTCAGAGAGATGCTTTCCTTTGCTAAATTAAAAAAGGAGCAAGATCAGTGGGGAAAAAAGGAATACAAAGAAAGAACGGCTCGCTTTCAACCAATGGTCAGGAGTCGATGAGAGATCAGCTGAGTATTTACTTCTAAGAGGTCTACAAAAGATAACTAAGAAAAGTTCACAAATGGTAGATTTAAACTGGCAGTCTATGTATTGCCATTTCCATTTTTCCTACTGAAGAATACATGGGTCTGCAAATAAAAACAAGATTGCTCTGCAGAAGTGATTTTTAATCTTTTTTGATGTGTGCTGAATCCAACCACTCAGGAAGACGAACCTTGAGGAACGCCACATAAACATTTCAGAAAAACAGTGCATTTCGGAAACGTTTCCTCCTAACATTTTCTTCCAAGCAGTAAGCAATTGGTTTATGCCTTAAAATAAAACACTTTATCTCAGCTATAAATGTTTATTGTGGATGACCCAACTGTATTTTTTCTTAGGACCAGTGGGTGTTCCTTATATATCCCTAAAGCATAGTAGGGTTTAACCTATGGCTTCATCATGCAGTGATATACCGGACTGAGAAGAGGAAACAGTACATCTGTGTGCAGGAAAGCTGTACCTGAACTAATAAACCCTCCAGAGAGGTGCTCCATGGCTCTTACACTGACATGTTCCACTTAAATGAATTTTATGCTTTTTTGATGCTAGCACCACAAAAGCTGAAGAAAACCTGGCCATTTGGCAACTTGTGTGTGACACCACAGCTAAGACAAATCCAACACATTTTAAAGCATGAAACACGTGGTATTTTGGACATATACATACATTAAACTGCAAAGCTGCTGAGTAAACTGCATTTATTTTACGATTTAGATGATTTTATCACTATTATTTCCATTAATCCACCACTAACATTAAGATGGGAAGCTGAGACAACTTCTAACACTTCCTTGGTAACAGCTCTCAAAGAACTACCAATTAGAAAAAACAAAACAACAACAAAAAGCTTCAAAAAGACTTCCTTCCCATGAAATTAAGGTTGTCAAAAAATGACACCTCTCTAAGGCACACAACTGTCAACACTGCATTCACTAGTAACAGGTTTCTAAGCTCCAACAGTTTGCAGCCAGTAGGGCTTGATATAAAAAACACTTTAATGTCATGAGAGAAGTGAAATTCCCCACCATTCATTGTTTCAGAACAATCAGATCTTGCACTTGCCACCAGAAGTTTAAAAAGACTACATTTAAAAATTTTAGAGGTTTCCATAATCCATTAGTCATAATTTCTCCCTTTAGGTTTCCACAGTTGTTCTCAGGGTAAACTTAAAGCACCTGGTTTTGCAGATGGTAAATTAAAAAAAAAAAAAAACAAACCCAACAAACCCAACAGTATTCATACATTATTTTTTAACATTTACAGAACCATATGTCTGTAAAATATGTGGCATAAGCATATGTAAAAACCTTTTATTGCATATATTTGGAGAACCCTGCCCTGCTTGCTTGTAGCTTCATTGCTCAGTAGAAAGCGTGCTGTTGTGCACTCATTCTGAGAAAGTTTTACAGCATACCATGCCAGGCGCAATATTTCCTATTACTTAGTTTCTTCTGTACAAGAACTCTTCTAAATAATTCAGTTTGTATCATAGTTCAGTGGTCCCAAAGCCTCAGGCTAAAGTAAACACAACACATTTCTTACAGCATATAATGCTAACCCAAGCCTTACATTTCAGCCTGTGATAACTGGTGACATACTATTAAGCTTTATGTAAAGGTCCCATCTTGCCAGAAATCCATGTGAGGAGTTCAAGCTGGAGTCAGTGCAGGGTACCTGCAGGATGGATACAAACATCCTTGTCCTGAGAAACATTAGGTTCCCAAAAGTCTCAGCAATATCGATCTGCATTTCCAGCACAAGGTCTTACTCAGAGTCAGGACTGTATTGCTGCGATGCTGCAGTGCAGAATATGAGACACACAAAAGAGGGGAGTTTTGAACCAAAAGGCAAGCTGGAATACCTTATTTCAAAAGCAAATGAGATGAAGGCACTGAATTCATGCTTCCCATTGCCACATCTGTGTCTTACCCATGCTCTGCCTACATAATGATAAGCGCAGGCTGCTTGTGCAGATCAGAAGCAAGTCTTTTCTGGGAGCTACAGTTTCCTCTGTAGCACTGTATATTTAAGTACATTATATACCCTGTATTAGTTAACTCTGCTGGGAGAATCTGGCATTCTTTCAATTTCCCGATGTTTGAGTGTTAGGGTACTTAATGTCAAGGTGGCATTAATGCAAACTTTCTGTATTCCTGGCAGAATTTTGCCATCACTGTTCTAGGGAAAGCCCTACTTGTTCCTCCCAGTCCTGGTGGCTGGGGGGAGAAGGGGCACAGAAACAAAACTGATATGAGAGAGAGACAAGGTGTCTGGCATCCAACATGGTGGGTGGCTCCTCTTATACCCATTGACTATTTGCTCCTGTAATGGCATCTTGCTATTACAGCCAGGGATCAGCTACCAGGCCTGGTACACACAGGCCATGCTGGCTGTAAGGATTTCATAATCTCTGAACAGTAGCAAAATATAAATGCATATGAAACAAACAGCCAAGCGGAGAGCAAGAGGGGCAAAGATAGCAGGACAGTGTAAAGAGCACTGTGTGGACACGCGGGTCAGCATGAGCGGCTCTGGGGCGCTTCCAGATGAGCAACCCTGGAAGGGAGTAGGGTCAGCAGGAGAATATACCCCACAAACCTCTCTTCACAGGGAGCATCCATATACCAGGGATGTCTGAGGCAACAGAATTGCTGCTTAAGCACATGAAAGCTGAGTGTAAGGCCTTCGAAGAGTAAAAGCAGCCTCTCAGAGGATACTAAGGCAGTGTTTCAAAAGAGACTCCCTTACGTGGTAATTGGAGCCAGAGCACGAGGCCAGTAGCACCATGCCAGAAGTACTGCAGTTTCCAACTGCCCTCAAAAGAAAAGATGACTGTATCTGAAATCTCCAGATTATTTACAAAACATGCATGCCTTCAATTGCCACTGTAAATGTGCAATCAGTGATAACTGACAGTTTTAAGAAGCTGGAGGGGATTGTTCTGCTGCACATCCAGGGACCCTTTGCAACACTATCTGATTGCTCTGATGTCTTCCCTGGGTTTTATATGCCGAGCACTGAGCGCAGTGTGGGCGGGTTTGCTGTGTCTGATAATGGATTATTTGACGAAAGGCCAACATTAGCTGTGTGCTGACTCCAGTTGTGGTAAAGAAGGTATTAGGACTTTTCCAGTCCCACACACGTTGCATTCACAGATAGCATGTAGCAGCAATTATGTTGCACAACTTAAAAGCTATTAACTGAGTGGCGAAAAGGGGCCAGGAAGAAGAGGGATTGTGATTCTTGGATTAAGGCAGTCATCCCTAGAATACAGTTTCCGAGAGAAAATGATTCAGGAAGAAGCTGAAGGGGATAACAAGTTTCAGTGCACTGAGGGAAGAAAGGACAAAGCCAATCATAACCCCAAATCTTGAGGGAGATTTTGGATTGCTAGGGGAGGTGCTCTCTGGTTTGTTTGGGTTTTCCTTGGACATTGCATATCCTAGAAATGCAGAGTGGTTCAAAGCTCAACCCAGAGAGATTGTTTTAATTTGTATCTCGCTTTATTTCTGTGCTGGTCACTAGAGCTGGACAGAATAATCCAACAGAGTTTGCCCCGACTTCTGTGTGCTCAGGTATCTGTACATTCCAGACCTATTTCTGTCATCTATTTTGATTCTTCTCATCTAATGAAGGCTGAAATCTGGGAAGGCACAGAGCACCCTTGACTCCCATTGACTTCACTGAAACCTGATGGGCATTCACCCCCAACTCAGTTATGTTCTTCTGTTTTCAGATCTTCAGGGAAAGACCATGTTTTCTGTAACTTGCTTGTCAAGAACCTTTAGCATCACAAACACCATGAACAGAAATCGTCCAAACTGCTGTCCACCTTCTCTCACATGCCAAGGTTTTGGCTCTGGACCATGTGTCTCGTGAGTAGCACAGCGATAAAATTAGACACTGTGTCTATGAGGTCCATAGAGCAGAGCTGGGCATTGGCTTTACCTTGCAAATCCCATGCAGACAAAAGTAGTATTAGCCAGGTGGACATACAAGCAGAGCATGACCAGTGGGACACACAAACAACCCGTAAAGGAATGGAAGGGTCCTTCGAGATATTCTCCAAACATTTCCAAACTGTTGCTTAGAAGCAGCAGAGCCTCAAGGTTTTAGACCATGCTGCAAAGCAAAGGGGAGAGAATCAGGCCTATCACCTGCTACTTTCTCATGTTATGCAGCAGACAATCCTTTATGTTGTTCTGGGAATCCTCTTCCAAATGGGGGCTGGAAGGGGTTCATATTTCTGAGGGCAGGTACTGTGATCCCCGGTATGCAGGTATCTGTCATTTCCTCATTACAGATTTTATAAAGAGGTTCAAAAAGATCTAAGCAGAGTACTCTCTTCCTCCTTTTGTTTGCTACTGCCCTAATTATCTTTGTTTCATAATTGTCCTCACTGACAGAATAAAAAAAGGTTGGTAACTGCCAGTCCCACATTGAACCATAAAGAAGCTAGGAGGGAGCAGACTTAAATCCAGCTGCAACAGCATCTACAAATCTTTGTAGCGATAGCAGAATATTTTGTTATGTGGCATGGATATTATTTGTCCTTTTCAAACAAACTAACAAATAAACAAAAAGCTCTTTCCACTTGCTTGCCATATTGCTGTGCCTCCTCCTCCTGAAAACACAGATGTTCTTACCCCACCAGTAAATGAAAAAGGGGAAACGACATAAATATGTATAATAAAATCAGAAACAGTCAGATTTCCAAGACCAAGCAATAGGCCATATCTCCTCTTGCTGTGACTATGGAAATTTGGGCTTGATAGTTCCATGCACAGAGTGCCAATTATTCCAAGTATCCAAGATAAAGGCTGCAACTTTATTGAGGTTTTTCTTTTCTACAGCTCTTCAAAAAGGTCAAGATTATTCCGTATTATATCCCCTGCCAAAAAGCAGTGTAATTAAAATAGATGGACAGATTTTAATTTGTAGCAGGCTTCTATTCACAATGGATGTCTGTTTAGGGTACTTGTTTAAAATCTGGTAATGTTAAATTTGTAACAACAACAAAAAAATAATGCAGTTCTGTGTTTTCATATAATTAATTTATAGCAAATGTTTAAATAGAGATTCTGTTCATAGCATATCCAACTACAGTGTATATATCAAAACCAGAGACCAAATTTTCACATTACGGCCTTAAAAGCAAATACCAAGGATGTGGCTGTATGGGAACATTGAAAATACTTCATTAAAGGAAATGCTGTAGAAATAAAAGTGGCATTGGCTTCCTGTAGGTTTGATGATGGCATGCCAAATTGCCATATGGGAGACATTGGTTTGGGAGTAAGTATCATCCCTGCCTTCCAGGCTGCAATTTGGAAACAACATGGCATTGGGGTGGAGGGTGGAGGTACAGAGGAGGCAAGTCTGACCCTACTTAAGCCCCTGGCAAAACTCTCATTGACTTTTGAGCATGCTGGAAGAGCCCCCCCCAGAGAAGGTGTATTTAAACTTCAATGCAGGGGGCTGCGGCTGCATACAGAGTGACTCTTCTTGGCACTGCCTTGGACAGTTGTCTGCACACATGTGCATGTCCCTTCACAGCCAACCTGCAAATGAGCAGCGCAGTTAAATGAGCATCCAAAGGACTTCCAAACTGAAGTAAAAGCCAAAAATACTCTTCCAAACGTAGCACCCATGGATGCTACTGGGAAATAGTTCTAACAAAGAAGCACTCCAGAAGAGCAAAGTTTATCAGCTGATAAAACTTGCAGTGATACCTTATATCCGAGTGTGTCAAGTTCAGCTGACCAACATGAAGCAGTCTCTCACAGGACAGTGGGTGGTCTCGCATAAGTGGGTTTCCTGTGTGGATGAACAGACCTTGTCTGCAGACAGGTACTGAGCTACTTGTCATCTCCATGTCCATCATATTCTTCTTCTCAGAGATCAAATTACAATGATTGTAGCCACCGTTCACTGTCAAAAAAAGAAAAAATCATAAGCTTTTGACTAAGAAGCCTCTATGCTCATTACTTTGCAGGCTCATTTGCGTATTTTGTATGCTTATTTTGGATCTCCTTGTAAAATTCTTGTAAATGACATGGCAGTAGAAATGAAAGGTTTCACAAGGAAGCAAAAATTAATTCCAAAGGAATTTGGATCTGTGAATTACTGTTGTTTATTTCTCTTTTTAAGTTTTGTGGCTACTTTACACTTCATAATCTAACTCAAAAAAACTTAGTCTGATAGCTTGCCTTCCTTCTGTGTATTTTTATGGTACAGTCTTGCCTGTGTTAGATTTTGGAAAGGGATGCTTCAGAGTTCCTTTATTTTCAGGGAGAGGAGCGCTCTGAAAACAGTGACGTAAGTCAAGTTTTTCTTTGCAGTCAATTATCTCTGTGATTATGACTTTAGATGGGCATGTTTCTACTTTACCATCAGGTCAACACTGTGAAAAAAGGAAACTAATTTTGTTTCAATGTATACATTTAACTGTATTTTCCAAGTAAGCTATTATTATAAATGCTAACGCTAATAATAATATATTCTGCTCTGGTGAATATTACATTTTACCAGACTCGGAAAACCAGACTAGAGCTACAGCAATATTCCTCAGAAATATATATATAACCACAAATTATAATCTAGCTAAAAAAAGAGGACAAAGGGGGATCTGAGAATTTAGATTGCATTGGTGAAATGCTAGCAATTCCATTTAATTTAAAGCATGTTAGTTGGGGTTTTTACCTGTAGTGAACTAATCAAATATTCACAGATAAGCATGTATAAAAGTATTTGTAGGATATTTAGCCTTCAGAGGCTAGCTAAACAAGTCACGATAGCCATTTACCAACATTTTCACTATTGTATATGAATCATGCGTTTAAAATACTAGATCTCCCTCTAATCTTTTTTTTCATGGAGACAAAATGTAATGGTGTCAGATACTAATGGCAAGCATATTTCCGTAGTCTTCATACAGAGTCCAGAAAGTAACTCCTTCACTCTTGTACCCAATGCTCGTGGTGATAGGTACTATAGAGCTAGACTGCATTGTAATTAGTCCACTCTCTACGGAGGCATTGAGTGTCACACGCTGAGGAAGAAAACGAATTCTGCAGTCAAAGTGTCAGAAGAGACAAAGCTCATGCTCAGTTTCATGCAAATCACTGATTCTCACAAGCATCAAGGTTTGTACTTTACTAAGGTGTTACAAAGCACAATTCATCTCACCACAGTTTTGCTGGCTATGAGTTTTACCCAGACAATGTCTATGTTGTTCAGCCATCTCAAAATGGGTGTCTAAAATGGGCTCATGCAACTTCAAGACATGCTTTCCTCTTCCCCTTGACTACAGAAGGCACTTAAACAAGCAACTTAAACTGAGTACCTGACTTTTAGACAGCTGAAGTTGAGCGAAATGAATCCCTCTGAGGGATGAGTCCTGCATAGGACTTACAAACATCCTCATCACAAATAACCTACTTTACACTGCTCTCAGGTCTGGTCCTTCTTTTGCTGAAACTCACATTGGACCTGCCATTGATCGCACAACTTCTACCATTTCAACACTGTAATTTGTGGTATTATCCAGAGCAGGTATATATTGATATAGAATCATAGAATGGTTTGGAACTGGTCTTTCTCCATCTTTCTTATAAGCCCCCTTTACATATTGAAAGGCCACAGTAAGGTCTCCCCGGAGCCTTCTCTTCTCCAGGCTGAACAACCCCAACACTCTCACCCTTTCTTCATAGGGGAGGTGTTACAGTCCTCTGACTATCTTCATGGCCCTCCTCTCGACTCGCCCTGACAGGTCCATGACCTTCTTGTACTGGGGGCCCCAGAGCTGGACGCAGTCCTCCAGGTGGGGTCTCACGAGTGTGGAGTAGAGGGGGAGAATCACCTCCCCTGACCTGCTGGCCACGCTTCTTTTTATGCAGCCCAGGACACGGTTGCCCTTCTTGGCTGCAAGTGCACATTGCCAGCCTACATCCAATTTTTCATCCACCAGTATCCCCAAGTCATTCTCTGCAGGGCTGCTCTCAATCAATTCATTACTCAGTCTGTACTGAGTTTTACACCTATATTATATAGGTATTACACCTATATTAAATAGGTATAATAATACATAATTAAGCAGATATCACAGTATCTAGTTAATGATATTTTCATGATATAAGGGTAAGTAGAATTGTACTCATGAAGTTTTGCAACCACTGCAGTTTTGTTACATCATTTATGAAGCTCCAATCAGAGATTGTGCTCATTTTAGTCAGGTACTGCTTAAGCACAGCTCCTCAGAGGAAAGGTCCCCCAACATACATGAAACCCCGTTTCCTCTTATGGACAGCTGTTATCCCTATAGCTAACGAAAGGCAAGTTGGGGAGCCTGAGCTGCTGTGGTCCTCTATAATTACAGTCAATGAATGCTTTGAAAGCGATGAGAATCACATTCAGGTTTTTGGTGAGTATAAATGAGAAGAAACAGGTGACTGGGGAAGGCAGAAAAAGTCTCTGGTAACTGGAGAAATTGTGAAAAGGATCACAGCACAAAAGTCCATTCTCCTCCACTGGCTGGGCTCCACAGCCTCCCCATCATGCTCCACGGCACCATTGTAATAGGGAAGACCATGGCAGATGAAGACGTAGTCCAGGCAAGCATCCAGACCCATAGAAAAGACTGGGTACATGTGACACCCAAATTACAAGTCTCGTGAGGCATTATTGTGACATTTCCAGAATAGAATTCCCTGTTTCCACCGAAAAGTTTTCAGTGTTTGGCTGATACATTACATTTCTTGACCATTTATTTATTTGATTTTTATTTTTTTAAGAAGTCAGAATCTCTAAAATTGGAAAAACAATACAAGGTTTTTCCTACCCGGCTCCATCACAATACCAAGGCATGTGATAAGTCTTAGGAAGTGTAGGCCAGCATTATTTTATGTAAACAAAAAGCCCACGTAAGATTTTTACGAATTGATACATGAGATTTTAAAGAGAAACCAATTTGATTTTAAACTATACAAAATAGGCCATTAGCCTTCTTCATGGTTATTAATATACATATTCTAGTTATTTCAGATTTATATTCAGAGACCTGAATTCACTGATACTCTGTGACTGTTCTGAGTGACTCTGAAGAGACTAAGAAGCTGTACAGAAATGTAGCATCTTTTGGCCTGCGCAGCTCACTCAGTTGTATTCGGTGGTTTTGGACCGAGGCATTTAAAAAGATCACTTCAGATGCCTTTCAGCTTATAGTGGGTGTTTGTGACAATTAGCTCTGCCCTGCTTGTAATCATGACATAAATTATCATTATATCCTCTGGAAATTATCATTATATCCTCTGGAGTCCACAGCTCCATCAGGCTTTATTCCATTCCTATTCTGGCTTCATCCCATCATAACTTAACTCACTTCAGGGGTAATATCTACCTTGGCAAGACTGTATAATCAGACTTGTGGTTGTCAATTTGGATACACAGATCACATTTAAAGGGTACACTATTGAACACTGGTGAAATAAGTTCTATACACTTTTAAAGGCCACACCACCAAGAGAAGTTGGTAAATCAGTCATACTTACAACACCCAATTCACAGTTCCTCACTTTTTCCATCAGCAATGTTACCTGGAATATATTCAAGATGTATCTTCCCTCTGAAATACTGTGGATTCTTCTAAAATGTTTAAGATTTATACTGGACTTGTAATAAAAACACTTTCCTTCTTTCATTCCCCAAATGATACAAGTCTGAAATTCATTAGGGCTTTCTAAACATGCATTTTATCAATTTTATCATATTATCAAAAACACAGAAACTTCAAGCTTCCACCAAAGTTCAGCAATACCAACTGTAGCACACACTGATACCTATTTGTGGGAAGATGGAGATTTCCTAGAATAACATGAACATTATCCCTGTGCTGTCAAAAATTATTACCTTCTCTTGTAGCTGTCAAATCAGAAAATACATTTTCTCCCCGCAAAGGAACAGAACACTTATCCTAAATCCGTGAAATTACATGTTTCAGCCAATCCACCGTACATTTGCCTTCACAAAGTACCTTACAGATTTATTAACAAGAGCTAAAAATTTCTTGCACAACAGTGCCTTGAGTGAAGTCGCACTTGCATCAAAGTCCTCTGAAATGTGCCCACCACGTGGGAGTTGGAACAATGAGACGGACAAGGAACAACACCAGCGGCTCCCTTTTTTTTCCCCCGCAGCCACTAAAACAAGAACCGAGAGATTGTCTCTGAACACAGACAACCAGAGTCTATGTTCAACTGTTCAAGCACATGCGAAAGCAAATTCACTGCCTCTGAAAAAAAGGAAAAAAAGTCTGGTTTACACCAGTGTAACTGAGAACAGAATCTGGCCCTTTGACAACTGGCTGTTTTATACAATATTAATATCACTGGCTGGCATACACAAGATTTAAGCATTTTCCATGTCTGGAACTAGATCTCTTCTTTCACTGGTATCGAGGGGCCTTTAACCTACATACTGTAACTTACCAATAACAGATGAAAAGAGCACATACTCCCTGCCTTATACCAGAGGGTTCACCCTGCTTTCAGTAGAACCATAGCTATTTCATAAATCCATATAAAGAACTAATCCTAATTTACAGAGAGTAAATCTAATAAAAACAGAATGGTTTCCAGAAGGATCTCATGGAAGTGGAATCCATCAAGGTAACTTTTGTCTTTCTCTTTTTCTGTCCTGCAGTTTTGATTTATATCTTTACATTTAAATGCTCGTGAAGGGAACGGAAGAGGTTGATACAGTAGTGTGCGAAGGCCGCAATCGGGCAATTCCTTCCATATGAGTAATCAAGTTAGTTCAATTTTGGGTATCTTGCTGCTTTCATTCTGGGGTAACTGACTTTGGGGGACTTTTTTCCTTGATTTATGC